TCGATATTGGCAAGAAGCCTTATCACCACTGTTTGTTATTACCCACCCACCATCTCCAGTTATCCAGTCGGACCACTCTGGTGCAGGGTGATACAATCTCAAAAGACATTTCCTCCCTTGTGTATGCCTGGTCACAGCTCAGGACTGAGACAGTCACAGGTTCCAGCTGATGGAAAGAAGGTAGACTTCAAACTGACAGGACCTGGGCCCAGATCCCTGTCCCACTGTCCACTGTACAAACCATGTGACTTTTGGATAAGTCACTTCACTCCTCGGAGCCTTGATGTCCTCATTGTTATCACTAAAGATTTTTGTGAGGGATAGATGAGGTTAGATATTGAAATGATCTCCCCACTGCTCAGCACATGGTAAGTTCCTCATTAATATTATCTTCTTTCCTCTCACCCAAACTTTGTTTTGTGTTTCCTAGAAGTGAGTAAAAACAAGTGGTTAAAAACAAGATTTCCCTACTGCATCAGTCTATGCTTTAAGTCACATTGTACCACAAGGAGATCTTGTTCTTTAAGTGTATTCTTAAGTCTATTCATATATATATAAACTAGGGATTTAATCCAGGGCACTCATCCACTGAACCACGTTCCCAGCAGTTTTAACAATATTTTATTTAGAGACAAGTTCTTACTGAATTGCATGAGGCCTCTATAAGTTGCTGAGGCTGGCTTTAAATTCATGATCCTCCTCTCTCAGCCTCCTGAGGTACTGGGATTACAAGCATGCCTGGCTTTAAGTCTACTCTTAAAGTCTATTCTTTTGTTTAAGAGACACAAATTGGGCTACTGACCTAGGGGAAGAAAGAGAGCAAGATGTCAGACATTAAGACCTACATCAAGAAGAATGACTTTATGACATTTGCCAGTAAATGGGTGGATCTGGAGACTATCATGCTAAGTGAAATCAGTCAATCCCCCCAAAAAACAAAGGTTGAATTTTTTTCTCCAGTATGTGGAAGTTAATCCACAATAAGGGAGAGATTAAAAAATGAATTTCAGTGGCGGAGACAGGGGAGTGAAGAGAAGGGAGGGGGATAGGAAAAAGGAAAGACAGTGGAATGAATCTGACATAACTTTCTTATGTACATACATATGAATGTGCCACAGTGAATCGCACCATTGTGTACATCCACAAGAAATTATTTTAAAAAATAACTATGGGTAAATTGCAGAAAGATCATTAGAGGGGAGGGAGCAGGGAATGTGGGGAAGGAAGGGGAAGGGAAGGTACTTGGGACTGAATTAGAACAAGATATTTTCCATGCTTTTATAGTTATGTCAAAATTGATTCTACTGTCAAGTATAACTACCAAGAACCAATAAAAATTTAAAAAATACCCGATATCAAGCTGATGTCTGTCCTCTTTCTCTAACACATTTCTTTTCTATGAAGAACAGCCTCAGATGCTTAGTTCATTCCTTCCATGATGATCAACAAATGTGATGAATAAAGATCAAGGGACATAATTTAAACATAAAGAAGAACTTCCCAACAATGATGAAAATGATAAGCAGCTCCCAAAAAATTCTTATTCGTGGGGAACTTTCAATTATGCTACCAATCCAATGTATTGGGTGGAGGATTTTGTCATCAAAGTATCCCAGGATTCAGGACTGCTTCCCACCCAAATCCTTTGTGGGTATTGTCTGACCTGCACTGCACTGTGTCCTCTGAGAGAAGAATACCATTTAGAATGCAGAAGCTTCTTTACTGCAGTGATCTTAGATCTAGGGTGGGAATGATATATGGGCAGGTGATTACAAGTCCAATTTCATTTCTTTCTTGAGCTTGGCATAGGCTTCCACATAAATCAACCTTATGAAGTTCTTATTGCCATTCCCTTGACTTTGATACCAAGACTCTCTGCAGCTCTGGAACAATCTCAGACTGCAAAGAATCCTGAGCCTTCTCAATTGGACCCCAAGTCCTGCAACCTAGAGCCCAGGTCAAATCATCTTCTTTTGTATCTCCTGCACTCTGATTATGATAGCCTCAGATTTGTTGGTCTTCAGCTACAAAATGTCCCTGCTTCATCCTCTGCTCCCCCTCACCCCAACTTAGCTTTACTGTTTGAAAAAGGCTTGCTTGTTCTTCAACTTTCCAAATTCAGATAATCTAAAACACCAAATACCTCTTACTTCTCTTAGGGTAGCCAAACTTTATGCAGATAGCTAGCCTTTATTTCCATGTATTTCTTTTTACAATCAAGGGCATAAACTTCATCATATATAAACTTAATTTGGGGAACTAATCTGGTCCCAGGAATATTGGTCTAACTTTCAAGTCACATAAGATCATAGTGGGAGGAGAGACCAAAAGTTACATATAGGCATAGGGTAGTATACAAAGAAGTAGGAAACAAAGGTATATTTCATTGGCCATCTTGAATAAGAGTACTGTAGCTGCATCTGCTTTGCTTTGGAAACATGGAGACAACTGGGATGAATGCTTTCTAGCCAGAGGGTTTCTATTTTTTTTTTTTAATTATGATCAGTTCTAATCCCAAAATTTAAAGAATATCTGTATGATCCTTTAAGAAGATAGAATCATAATTTTATCTTTCTTATTATTCAAGTTAGTTTATTATTTTACTTTTAGTTAAAGCTTTTCAAATCTAACCTCTGAGCACTGTCCGGTTGTTCAATCATAATCACCATAACTGACTTTGTTCTGGTGTAGTAGGGAGGGGGCACCTACTTACCTGGTTCTACCTTTCTTGCTTGTACTATTGTAATAGCTTTATTTTTGCACTAGGAATTGAATACATTCTCACTTTACCACTGAGCTACATTCCCTGTTGTTGTTGTTATTATTATTATTATTTTATTATTATTATTATTATTTTGATACAGAGTCTTGCTAAATTGCTGAGGCTGGCTTTGAAATTGCAATCCTCCTGCCTCAGCCACTCTAGTCATTGGGATTACAGGTGTGTGCCAGTATACCTGGTTGCAGTAACTTTTTGATTTTAACTCTTTTTCTCCTCTATTATCTCATTCTTCACACCAGTAGTTAGGCCTTGGGTAAATCCTTTCCTTTCTGATCTTCAGTTCTCATGACTCAGATTGAGGACTGAACTAAACAGAATCTGATAATCCGTGCTCTCTATTTTCCATCCTTCTCTTTCCCTGAGATCCAACCCCACTCTGTCCCTCAATCCCTTTTTCCACTTACTTTGCTAGCTCCTGCACCCTTTGACACCACACCTACAATTGGACTCCTGTACCCCCTTTCCCATTTAGCTGCTGACACTGTACCTAACTCTCCAGTGTGTGTGTGTGTGTACATGCACACAGAGGTGGGAATTGGCATGGAAGGTGGGAATAACACATAGGGAGTTTCCACTTTCTAGAAAGTTGGACTCTCCAATCAACTTCTCCTTTGCCTTTAGGCATTTAGCCTAGTGCTGAGCTCTGTGGGCTCTAGATGAACACAAATGAAGGAATCCGTGAGTTCCTTGAGCTCCTGGGAAAAAAGGGGCCATGGCAGTACCAAGGAGTGCCATTGCTAACCCAGTTGCTGAGATTTTCTGATAAGTGCTGCTCCTCTTCAGAACAAATGTTCAGCTTAAGGAGATGGTCTTAGTGGGGAACTTTGTTTATCCTAGAATCCATTAATGAATCTTGGCAGTAGTGAGAGAAACTGAGGCAAATAGATTCATGCACACTGTTAAGTTGGGAAAATCAAGGAAGAGGGAATAAAATTGTTGGTTTCTGAATGTAAATGCAAGCCTTTATGTAGCCCTACTACGTTGCTCTATTGTCCTAAGCACTCTACATCCTTTCCCATCCTTTTATAATGAAAGGACCTTGGAAGCCCAGGGGTTCAATCCTTCTTACAGAACGGGAAACTCAAGACCAGAGAGGAGTACATACTTAACCATGACCATACAGAGGTACAAGTAGAGGCAGAGCTACAAGTAGAAGCAAGGTGTCCTGACCACCCCTCTCAAATGTCTTTCCACTGTCCCACACTAAGGTATGTGGTGCCCTACTTCACAAAAGATACTCAAACCATGCCTCTGCACGATTGCCAGTGGAGAGGAGAATAAAGGACTATGGCCAGTTACTTTCAAACTAAAACTCAGACTTAACCAGGTTAACTGCAGGCTACAACACTGCTGTCTTGGGACTCTGTGACCTTGACAAGAAGTACAAAGGGAGTTCATAGACACACCCTAAGGGACTGGAATAGAGAGGTACATCTCACCCGAGGGAATTATAGCTTCATCAAAAAGGGAATGTGTTGGGGAGGGGGCTGAAGAAAGAGGACACTGATTTGAGAAGAGTGGCCGCTGGGATACAGAACAAAAGTGAGTAGAATACAGATGTGGGGGAAAAGGTTCTTGTGAAAATGAAGACCTAACAAAGATGCAGAGAAAATATGAGTCCTACAGAAGAGAATGGATGAAGTTTGGCGGAAATAAGGCATTTAGTCAAGAGACGTTTCCTGGGGGATATAGGATCTTCAGACCTCTGAGGAGCTGTTAGATTGTAGGAGGATAGTTGTGGCTCCAGGGAACAGAGCTGAAACGCAACGATGGAGGTCACACAGAAAAAGAGTTCAGACGCGCCCAGGAGGAACTTTCTAAGAGGCAGGATTGCATTGAGGAACAGGCTGTGATAGATAGTGAGTTCCTCATCAGTGAAAAGTTGCAGTCAGGGGCTGCCTAAGCATCTGCTAGGGTGCGGCCCAGGGTCCCGCTCTGGCTCTGAGCGGGGGCGGGGCAGGATGGCCGAGACGTGTGAGGCTGGGGACTGGGAGGGAGGTGGGAGAGGAATGGGTCTGGTCGGGGGTGAGAGCCCCATTTAGGCTGCCCAAGCCCAGCCTGGCCCCCCACGTGGCCAGGCTGGCTGGGCTGGGCAGGGCCGGGCTGGGCGGGGCAAGGCCAGCGGCCCGCGGGGAGGCGGGGAGGCGGGGAGGCGGGCGCAAGGGCGGGGAGCGGCGCGGAAGCCGGGCCACATAAAGGAGCGGGCGGCGCAACGGGGGTGGCTCTTTCCTGGGTGGGGTTTGTGAAGTCGTGGCCCGTTAGCAGGAAGCCGAGCAGTCTCCCCGACGCTAGAGAGGGACCCAATCCGAGCCCCCGGCCCCCGGAGTCTGAGCCGTGGGTACTACGTGCTCAGCGCTGCCCGACAGTTTCTAGCCAAACTTCCTCAACTCCGCCGCCTTTGCCGCCACCATGCCCAAGACGGTGAGTGCTGGGGGTTGGCGCTGTAGACGCCTGGGGTACTAGTTGACCCTCGTAGCCTTATGTTAATGGCCATGGGCTTGGCCGCCCACCGGCCTGCCTGGGACGCCACACTCTCCCTCCGCCATGGCCCGAGGTGGGGAGACCTGGTCCTGGTCTGGAGCGCCCTAGTGAGTGAGGGGATGTCCAGGCTAGAAGTGCGGTCAGGGCGGGGCCGGCCCCTTTTCTCAGGTTCCAGTTCCCTGCATCCGGGATGCGACAGTGGGGAAGGTTTCGTTGGCGGCTCGGGGTACCCTCTTCCCCCAAAGGGCCCTGGACTCGGGACAGAGGACTTAAGTTGTGAGGAGTACACTTCCTAGGGCCCAGGAATTGGCGCCTTTTGGGGGCAAGGCTGCCACTTTTCTAGAGGGGCTATGAGAATAGAGAGAAGCAGGGAGTAGAGAGGGAGCTGCTCAGGGCGGATCCTGCACCCCCCCGCCCCCACCTTTCATACAGCCACCCAGGGCGGCTCCTGCTGTTTCCCACTAGGAAGTGAGGAAAGAGATGTAGAGGGACTCATCATCCATATAACCCCCTTTTACCCAGGAGTGCTAACACTTGACTAGGCACCAGTCTCAGGAGAGGCCTACTCAGTCTACTGGGAGAGAGGACCAGTTTCTTCCTCCCTTTTACCTGCCAAATCCCTGGCCTTCCCATTAGTTAACGCCTCTCTATCCCCTCCTGACTGCTCTTTGAGGTGTAGTAGGTTCTCTCCTATGGGGCCACACCTTTCTAGAATGGTGGTTGATTTTGGGATCTGGTCTCCACCCCACTGGCTATTATGAGAAGAGCAGAAGCCTCTTGGGAGTGGGGCCTAGGGGGGCCGGATGCCCAAGAGGGAGGGGCGGGGGAGGGGTGTGCCTGACTAATGAGCTCTGCTTGCTTTTGTGCAAGTCATGCCAAATGGCTGCTGGGGCCCTTCCCTTGTTCAGGAAGGCTCAGTGACCACCTTGGCTTGAGTCAAGCAGCTTATTGGACTTACCTACAAGGTACAGTGTTCCCATATATATATGCTGGGATTGCTTGAGCCTTGTAGATTGGAGATAGTGACTAGTAACCTTGAGAAAGGTTGTGAGCCCATGGGATGAGAGGAGAAGACTAGGGAACCCAGTTCTTTGGGTGCATGCTGAGGTTTTGTTGCCACATTGCTGTATTCCAATCTCACTGCCAAGTCATTGTTGCCTTTCCAGAACACTGTCCTTCAGAAACACCAAGTTTTCAACAAATATATATTTTCACCATCTCTTTTGAATTGCCTGTGGTTTTATGACATGGGACTTTTCCACACTTTCTAACCAAACCTCTCCCCCTACAAAGTAAGAGAGTGCAAAAGGATGAGAGAAAACCCACTGTCTGCCAACACAGAGGACTACAAATATCCTCCAAGAAGCCTCTTTTCTGTCTATCTCACTCTGTTGGTTCTTGCCTCTTCTTAAGGTATGGCTTTGTCCAGTTTGATTTAGACTCCATTCTGTGGCCTCTCTTCTTTAGTGGTATATCTCATCCTCAATTCTGAAACATCTAACTTTAAACACAATTTGATGGGTCTGGAAGTCAGCTCAAAGTTGCAATAACTAGCCCAACTCAGTCAAAATAGGAAAAAGGAGTGCTGATCCTTTCCCTAAATATGGAGACAGAGGAATGTTTGGAGTCATGCCTGGGGTGCTAAAAGTACCTGAGTACTGAAGTATTTTTATGCATATTGAGAAAGAGAGAGACCCTCATTCTGTTAAACTCAAGAAATGGCAATTTTGGGGGGGAACAACTATGTCATGCCTGTTAAGACCATAGAAAAAGGGACTTTGGAGACTATCTAGTGTAATCCTCTTTTTCAAAAAATATTAATAAGAATATTTAGGCCTATAAGAAAGTACCCTACCTAAGGGCGCATGGTACTGAGCCGCAATTGGGGTTCAGGCCCACTAATGCTCATTCCGTTGACCCACTACTATGGCCCATTCATTGGTTCTTGAAGTTTGAGTTCACTTTCTTGCAGAAAGCAAATTGTACACTGTTCTCAGGACTTCTTTGTCACCAGATGAAAGGAAATATGTAATTTGGGAAAAGTGACCTATGCTGGCATTTGTGTGGTCTCTTGGTAAGATTTGGGCGTGTCACAAGGTGCCTCTTGTTACTTTTCTTATTCCTCATCCCAAGGCTGAGCCATCCAGGGGCACACCCTAGTTCACTGTATACCAGCCAGTAACTTTAATGAAGAGGGGAAAATTCCCTTTTCTCACCACTCCTTCTCCACTGGTGTGCTTTAGGCTATTTCTGGAGTATGACAGATAGATAAAGGTAGTGGAAAAAATCAAACCCATTCATTCATATGAACCATGTCTCTGGTCTCTCCAGGGCCAGTTTCACTTTTAGAGCCAATTGTTTCTCCTAGTTAAGCCAGCCTCCCTTAAATGTGTTAAAACATGCACAGCCCCCTTCTTGCCATTCTTGGACTCTGCTTCTGGTTGCCAGTTTCCTGAGTCTGCCGTAGTAGCCAAAATGGAGACGCTTATTAACTGTCAGCTGTGATTTCTGGTGATAAGAAAATTATGAGTAAAAAGGTTTTTCCATCTCCCTACCTCATTTAACATTTTTTCCCCAAATCAGAAAGATTTGGCAGTTATCTTGGATTCCATAGAAAGAAATTATTTTGAATTTTCAAAATGTTCTTGAGTTTTTTGGCTCTCTCCTTATGATTTATTAAATGTCAATATTTAAAAGGCTTTCTACAAGTATCAAGTCCAATCCTTCCCATTGTACAGATGGGGAACTTGAAACTTATGATGGGGAAGGACTAATTTAGATGATACAGTATGTCAGTGGCAGTGCTAGGACTTGAGTCTAGTTTTTAGAGGGTCAATCTTGGTAACATCTCTTTGATTTGCTGGGTTTTTAGCCGTAGAGCAACAGGTCAGGGGAATGGTGATGAAGTGGTCGTTTGATGGCATCATCCATGTGAGCAGACATAGAGCATAGCTCCTTGAAGTATTTGAGAGCTTCTCAGTCTATATTCAGCTAAACTTTAACAGGGGCTATGTAGACTGTTTATTCTCCTTCCATTCCTAACATTACTTGAGCCATTCAAGTGGCACTAAAGTGATACTTTGTAAATAGGAGGCAGAATCTAAGTCTTTCAACCCTTGAACCAGACCTACCTATGGACTTCAGGGTGGAGCAAGTGATTAGGAATGGAGGTTGTACGAGAGAGGCTTCTACCTCTCATTTTTTTCATGTTTTAGTTCACTGCACACTTCTTGAAAGCATGGATTATAATGACCCATCTTTGGGATTTTTTAAGGCTTGTCTTTGAAGAGCATTCTGGGTACAGAAGGGCTGGTTGGGCAAGAGGGCCTTTGTGGGATCCTCAAGGACACCAACTAATCTATGTTCCCATGTTAGGTTTGAGGAAGGAATGTTGCTCTGTCAGTGGTATTGACCATAAATCTGCTAACTTTCCATTTTTTACTAGATGTTGAGGGTGGTGTTCTTTCTTCTCTCTTACCTCCTCTTCTCATGTAACTGCTTTACTGAATGGTAGAGCTAGAAGAAATGTTTAGAGGTCATCTGGTCTATCCCTCTGCCTCTAAACCTAATTCTCTTTGGATGAGATGAGATGACAGCTATGATTATTCTGAACTCAGTTCTAATAGTGTTGCTTGGCAACAGCTTCTCTTAGGTCCCTTTGTGTATTCCTGGGAGTCACATTCCTACTGGAATTTCTAGACTCAGTGTCCCTGGAGGGGAGAAGATTTGGCTACCAACAGTATCAGGGTTGGGCCTTTCATGGACAGAATTGCTCTGATCTTCATAGACCTGTGTCAGTCTCTGATTTTTCTAAGATAGAACTGGATTTATCATGTGCCTCTTTCTTAACTCAGTCTTTTCTTTCTGCTACCCTACCTCATTCTTTTGCCCTGAAAGGAAACACACACACACACACACACACACACCAACACCAGAGTACAAAGGTAGTCTTCTTTGGGGAGCCTGTTGGTCAAGTGATGGGGCTGGTGTTTTCATGACTGACTGGCTTTGCTCTTCATCCCTCCTCCCATTTCATGCTTGGCAGAGCCGAAAACCTTTTTAATTCCAGGTTCCAATGTGTGGTATAGGAACTGCCACTTTGGAGGGTTATCTCAGGATTATGTGAATTTGAAAGGTGTGTGCTGGGAAATGGACAGTAAAACTATATTGAAAAATTTTATTCCTTTTTTATGTAAGAAGATCCTTATTCTTTTTTTTAAATATTATTTTTAGTTGTAGTTGGACACAATACCTTTATATTTATTTTTATGTGGTGCTGAGGATTGAACCCATGGCCTTGCATGTACTAGGCCGGCGCTCTACTGCTGAGCCACAACCCCAGCCCCAAGATCCTTATTCTTGTCCTCTGTAAAGTGATCCAAATGAAGTGGGCCCTTTCTTAAGTTCTTTCTTCAGTCTCTCAGTGTCTCCAGTACTAGGTAAAAACTCAAGGGACCCATCTAGTAATGATGTTCTTGAGAGCCTTGATGGTACTCCTTTTTTTAATATTTATCTTTTAGTTTTAGGTGGATACAATGTCTTTATTTTATTTTTATGTGGTGCTGAGAATCGAACCCAGTGCCTCACACATGCTAGGTGAGCACTCTACTACTTGAGCCACATCCCCAGCCCTTGATGGTACTCCTTGGGGCGTCTGTTCCTATTTTCATTTCTTCAGACAATCTTTCCTAAAAATTTGAGTAACTTCTATGTACCAGGCAGTGCTAGGGAATACAACATTGAACAGTTTGCTAAAATGTATCTTGTTTCCCTAAACTTCTGGAGTGCTGTTACTTCCAGAGCAAGTTCAGAATGGAGATTTTCTAATTTGGGAGTTGAATTGTTTCATTAGTAGATCTGACAAGACCTGGGTGAGCACTCTTGCCTCTTTCTTCCCTGTCCTTGGAGGGGAAAAAACTGTGCTTTACTAAGGAAAGAAA